TCTTTAAAGAGCTCAGATAGGTGCTACTAAGTTAGATTAATGAGTGGAGTATAGGTGGACTTTTTAAAGGCACAGTAACAGGTCTTTGAGAGCCAGAATTCTTGCTGTTTCTTAGATGTTCAAATACTTATGTTCAGCAGTGCAAGACAAATACATTCTTTAAAAATCATACAATGTGATTTCCTGAATTTTTTTTTAAATTCTGTCTCTCAGAGTGGGAATGCACCTACAATGTGAATTTCAGACCACTCCATGATTTCTAAGTGGGTGAACTTGCAAAATCGCAGGGTGTTCAAATACTTCTGTTCCTCACTGTATAGTATGAAAACCCACTGGGTATTAAATGGTACCTAATAGAAAGCTCTGTCTCAAATTATATAAAATTAATTTGGATACACTATTGTCAAACTGTCATTATTGAAAACTGAAAAATGAAGAGGTACATATAGGTTGGTAGCATTGCTTTAATCACTGAGAAATTACTTCAAGGTCAACTTTACAATAATCACTGTCTTTCCTGACAATACACTATAGATTGTCCGTACAGTCTGAAGAAGTGTGCATCCTGCTTTCCTAATAGGAAATTAGTTATATGGAAGCATTACATTAAAGGGTTGTACTAAGTGGACCCTGCATTCTAGATTTTAAGTTCGGAGTCAGGTCAGCAGTTCTTGTGGAAAGAGAGTAGTATTAAATATTTCTGCCTCGCAAAAAAAAAATTGTATATTATCTGGATGGGTTACTCTAGTTACCATGGCTGCAGGGCCTCACAGAGTTTGATTTTTTTTTTTCTTCTTATCTACAGTGCCTTGAAAAAGTATTCATAGCCCTAGACATTTTCCACATTTTGTCATGGTACAACCAAATACGTAAATGTATTTTATTGGGATTTTATGTAATAGACCAACACAAAGTGGCACATAATTGTGAAGTGGAAGGAAAATGATAAATTGTTTTGAACATTTTTTACAAATAAATGTTTGAAAAGTGTGGCATGGATTTGTATCCAGCCCCCCTTTGCTCTGATACCTATCTAAAATCTAGTGGAACCAATTGCCTTCAGAAGTCACCAAATTAGTAAATAGTCTACCTGTGTGTAATTAAATCTCAGTATAAATACAGCTGTTCAGTGAAGCTCTCAGAGGTTTGTTAGAGAACATTAGTGAACAAACAGCGTCATGAAGGCCAAGGAACACACCAGACAGGTCAGGGATAACATTCTGGAAAAGTTTAAAGCAGGGTTAGGTTATAAAAAAAAATATATATATATCCCAAGCTTTGAAGAACTCTCGGAGCACTGTTCAATCCATCATCAGAAAATGGAAAGAGTATGTCACAACTTTAAACCTATCAAGAAATGGCCATCCACCTAAGATGACAGGCCGGGCAAGGAGAGCATTAATCAAAGAAGCAGCCAAGAGGCCCATGGTAACTCTGGAGGAGCTGCAGAGATCTACAGCTCAGGTGGTAGAATCTGTCCATAGGACAGCTGTTAATCGGGCACTTCACAAATCTGGCCTTTATCGAAAAGTTGCAAGAAGAAAGCCATTGTTGAAAGGAAGCCACCAGAAGTTCCGTTTACAGTTTGCGAGAAGCCATGTAGGGGACACAGCAAACATGCAAAAGAAGGTGCTCTGGTCAGATGAGACCAAAATTTAACTTTTTGGCTTAAAAGCAAAATGCTATATTTGGTGGAAAACTAACACTGCACATCACCCTGAACACACAATGAAACATGGTGGCAGCATCATGTTGTGGGGATGCTTTTCTTCAGCAGGGAAGCTGGTCAGAGCTGATGGAAAGATGGGTGGAGCCAAATACAGGGAAATCTTAGAAAACCTGTTAGTCTGCAAAAGACTTGAGACTGGGGCAGAGGTTCACCTTCCAGCAGGACATCGACCCTAAACATATAGCCAGGGCTACAATGGAATGGTTTAGATCAAAGCATATTCAAGTCCAGACCTAAATACAATTGAGAATCTGTGGCAAGACTTGAAAATTGCTGTTCACAAATGCTCTCCATTCAATCTGACAGAGCCTGAGCTATTTTGCAAAGAAGAATGGGCAAAAATTTCACTTTCTAGATGTGCAAAGCTAGTAGTGACATACCCAAAATTATTTGCAGCTTTAATTGCAGCAAAAGGTGGTTCTACAAAGTACTGACTCGAGGGGGGGCTGAATACAAATGCACGCCACACTTTTTTCTAAATCACATTGTCAGGAAAAAAAGGTGAGGAAGCCCGGGCAAATGTGCCAGTGCTCAAGATGCCTGCACCTATTCGCGCAAAAATGTGTGCATAGGCAGGCGGCACGTAATCGCTCATTCCTGTGCACGAAAGCACACCGGCACACGCAGGGAGCCATAATTGCCAACAATCAGTGGCCTTTATAAGGACTGCAGCCCTGCTTAGTAATTGCTGGATTATCGTCGCCTTGGAAGATGCTTTCCCTGGATTTTATTGTGGACTTACCTCCCTCTGAGGGATTCACCACCATCCTGGTGGCTCACTTCCTACCCATGGTGGGTACTCCTTCTGCTACTGAAACTGCTCAAGCATTTATTAAGGAGATAGTGAGACTACACGGAATACCCAACAATATAGTCTGACGGGGTACAATTTCCATCCAAATTCTGGAAATCTCTGTGTAAAACCCTGAATATTGAAGTAAGTCTCTCCTCTGCTTATCACCCACAGAGTAATGGGCAAAACGGAAAGGACTAATAAACAAGAACAAACAAGGGCGCACTCTCATCGTGCATTACCGTGGTACAACACGTGTTTATTGTGTAATCAAATGGATATATACTCACAAACCAAAAGGAGAATAAAAGCAGAATAAATAGTCCGCAATGGCAGTCAATGCAATGCTGTGCCCTAATTAGGGATAAGCTGACGCGTTTCGGGAGAGCTCTGAGGAAGGGGGTTCACCTCCCGAAACACGTCAGATTATCCCTAATTAGGGCACAGCATTGCAATAGACTGCCATTGCGGACTATTTATTCTGCTTTTATTCTCCTTTGGTTTGTGAGTATATATCTATTTGATTACACAATAATCACGTGGTGTACCACGGTAATGCATGATGAGAGTGTGCCCTTGTTTGTTCTTGTTTATTAGTATCCAGATTTCCTGATCTTTCAAGGGCTGCACCTCTGCGTTTGGCATTTTGAATTCCATCTAGTCTGCATGAGGATTTGAGCGCTATTTTTTGTTTTTGTTTTTGGATTGAAACGGAGAGGACTAACCGAACTTTGGAGCAATATCCAAGATGCTTCTCTACCTTCTCTCAGGATAACTGGGCATCTCTTCTTCCTTGTGCAGACTTCGCCTACAACAACTCTGTCCATGCTTCCACCAACCAGTCTGCTTTCTGGGCAAACTATGGTTTTCACCCTTCCTTCATTCCGGATGCCATCCCAGAAGCATCAGTACCTGCAGTCCAGGATAGGTGAACTTTCATGCAATCCAATTATCAGACACTCCGGAGGACCATGCAAAAAGCTCAGGAGAATTACAAAGAAACAGTTTGATAAAAGGAGAGTGGAAGGTGGGAGACAAAGTGTGTCTCCCTACAACAAATCTCAAGCTTGCTTGCCCTTCACGAAAACTAGGTCCCAGGTTCATTAGACCTCTTAAAATTAAGTGAAATTAACCCCGTGGCCTTCAAGCTGGATTTACCTGACTCCTATAAGATTCTCCTGGTCTTCCATGTTTCTCTACTTAAACCAGCTGAAATGAGCCCTATCCCTGGAAGAGAGGAACCATCCCCACCGCCAGTCACAGTAGGGGAAGACATCAAATTTGAAGTTGAAACCATCTTGGTTGGACGGAAAAGGGGGAAATTGATTCAATATCTGATTAAATAGAAACGGTATCCACCAGAAGATAGATCCTGGGAAGCAACGAGAAACGTGCATGCCCCTAAACTACAACAAGAAATTTTCAAGAGATTTACTGAAAAATGAGCCCGCCTGGGCATCCGGAGGCTGCCCTTGGGGGAGGGCACTGTCAGGAGAAAAGGCGAGGAAGCCCGGGCAAATGCGCCAATGCTCAAGATGGCCGCACCAATTTGCACCAAAATGTGCGCGCACGCGCACAGGCAGGCGGCACGTAATCACACATTCCTGTGCCGATTGCCAACATTCAGTGGCCTTTATAAGGACTACAACTCTGCTCAGTAATTGCTGGATTATCGTCAGCAGCCCCTCCCCCCCCCCCCCCCCCCCCCCCCCCCCCCCCCCCCCCCCAAGTTCCTGTGCTCCTGTATTTACTATTGATTAACCGTTACCGACCCGGCTTGACCCTGACCTTGCTTTGGCTCTCTTCCTGGCTCTCTACATTGGCTTTGATCCTGACCTTGATCCTTTCTGCTGCTCAGTGTATGACCCCGGCTTGATCCTGACCTGGCTTCTGTCTGCTGTTCTGTATTGACCCTGGCTCTGGCTACTGACTACTCTACTCATCCTCTGGGATCCACAAGTCCTCTGGAGGAGGACTTCTGCATCCGGAGCACCCACGGGTTCCATCTCATAAGACATCACCCAGCAGCAACACCACTGGCAACCTGTGCTTCTTTGGGCACTGCACCTCCAGGGGCGCACTGCATTCAGCCGCAAGGGGAGCCCTCTCTCTACTCCAGCCTCAGGTCAGGTACGTGACACACATATTACACACATTCTATCACACAAAATCCCAATAAAATACATTTTACATTTTTGGTTGTAACATGACAAAATGTGGAAAATTTCAAGGGGTATGAATACTTTTTCAAGGCACTGTATGTGAAGGAAACCTGTGCAGCCAACCAGAACACTATACTTCCTTACTTTATGTAGCATGACTGCTCTCCATCTCAAAAGTAACTCATATTATTAGCTCTATGTTAGTATACAAGAATTATGGGGGTTCTGTCTGGGGCCTCAGGTGTATGATTTTGTATTGTTTAGTGTGAATGAGTCGGATACAGCCATCTGTTTACTTTGTGTATTTTGTCTACAGGCGTGTGAGTTTGGCTGAAGCTTTTCTGACGGCAGACATTGTTCTTAGCACTCTGCAGAATATTTCTGAAGGACTTGTGGTTTATCCAAAGGTAAGATTAGATACAACTTCAGAAGCCTAATACATGAAAAGATAAGCCAAAAGTGTAACTATGTTTTAGTCCTACACAACAGGACACAGGATTTTAGTCTTTAACCTTACTATCAGGCAATTGGAAACTTACAAAAAAGAAAGCTGCAGCCATGTCCTTTATATAACCCCTACTGTGCTGAGCCTTGGGGGACCATTCTCAGACCCTGCCAGGGGAAGATGCGGAGCCAGCCTGTAATGTCACTTTGGGCACTGGATCCTGCGTGGGCACTCACCTTTGCACATAGTTTGTGTTGTTTCAAAGTGGGTGCAGTATACTCCCAGGACCGTAGTTTGCTGGAGGTGTAGCCCTCTCCCAGAAGACCCCATTTTGGATGTGTGCCCATTGTGGAGAGTGTAGCCAGGGTAAAGTTTAATTCCTTGGCTCGTAAAGTGTGAGGAATTTTTTTTTGGGATCTTTGTGTGCAGTATTTTTTTTAAATTCTTTTCGTGGTATGTGTATAGCTACAGCAGCTTAAATGACAAAACATAATGGTCAGGTTTGAATAGACCGTTGTTAACAATCGATTGACATAAAAACAATGAGAGAGAGTGAGACAACATGGTACACATTACTGAGCATTACCATTATATGACAGCCTATGGATTGGGGGCTTACACATCCAGTGAGATAACCCTTAATACGTAAGGTGATGAAAGGAAATCAAACGTGTCATGTACATATTGGTAAGGGAATTAGTACCACAGGCAGTGCTGGGACAAGGTCATTCGGTGCCCAGGGGCAAAGATGGCAAATTGCGCTACCCTCCTCCTTCCCTCTTGGGTTCATGATGTGTAAGCTTAGGGGATCCTATGCCCAGCAGTCACTCGCTTGTCAAAATCACTGCCACTGTCACTACTCCTGTCCATTCTAACAGAAGGAAGGTACCCCAATCCCTACAGCTGCCGCCCCTATCGCCCATCTCTTGCCCCGACCCTGACCGCAGGTACAGAAGAACAGGAAGGTAGGAGACATTCATGTGTTATGTGCAATGGTAAACATGGACATGGCTTCCACCCAGTCAAACATTTGTTGTCAGCACTTACCAGTTGGCATTTTTGTACACTAAAAGTGATACACTAAGGTGTGCTTGCAGCATTTAAAACACTTTTCTGTCACTTTTAACAGCATTTTTTTCCCTCTTTGCAATGTAAGGGGGGTGGTTAATTGTTTGCAGGTGCTATATAACTTTCTATAGAGCTTACATTTAGCTTTCTCGCATTTTTGCTTGCTGGAAATTAGACAAAGTAGTTATTTAACCAAGTGGAGAGTAAAAAACCAGGAGCTGAAAACATGAGTCTTTTTTCCTGTAAGTATCTTAAATTTCCTGAAAGTTATATTAATATCATAACTGGGATAATGAGTGCTAGCAAGATTGAAGGTTTTGCGCACTGCACAGTGTGCCACATGTATACAATAATGGAGCAACAGCTCCAGCATGAGTACAGCTGCAACAGATGTGAGCAGGTTGCCCTTCTGAAAACTCACATTAGTGAGTCTTCTGCTCACTGAGCAGGTGGTTAATGGGGTTGATGTGGAGGGTGGAGTGGTAAGCCAGGATTATCCTTTAGGAAGATGGGTTAATGTAGTTAGAGGGAGTGGTAGGGGCTCACAGAAAAGGAAGGCCAGTCCTGTGTTTGAGCATCCAAACTAATTTGCCAAGTTGAGTGACGATGTGTGGGTGGCACACTCAGAGGTGGCAGCCCTAGATCACACTGCTTCCCCTAACAGCCTGGTGAGAAGACCATATAGTAGGGGTGGTGAGGTTAATGCAGGTAAGCCTAGGTAGGTGGTAGTTACAGGGGATTTTGTAATCAGAAGGACTGATAGATTAATTTGTCACTAAGATTGCCTCAATCGAATGGTTTGCTGTCTCCCTGGTGCAAGACTTCGGCATGTGGTGGAATAGGTGGAGAAATTGCTGAGAGGGGCTGGGCATGTCCATGTTAGAACCAGTGACAGAATACATGGAATATGGGGGCTCCTTAAGAATCAATTTAAGCACTTGCCTACCTGGCCAATTCTGACATTTCTCTCCTACATGTAAAAATTAAAAAAATGTTTGCTACAAAACTACTTAGAACCCCCAAACATTTATATATAAATATACACTCTATTGCCAAAAGTACTGGGACACCTGCCTTTACACACATGAACTTTAATGACATCTCAGTCTTAGTCCATAGGGTTCAATATTGAGTTGGCCCACCCTTTGCAGCTATACCAACTTCAACTCTTCTGGGAAGCCTGTCCACAAGGTTTAGAAGTGTGTCTATGGGAGTGTTTGACCATTTTTCCAGAAGCGTGTTTGTGAGGTCAAGCACTGATGTCAGATGAGAAGGCCTGGCTCGCAGTCTCCTCTCTTAAGTCATCCTAAAGGTGTTCTGTCGTTTGAGGTCAGGACTCTGTGCAGGCCAGTCAAGTTCCTCCACCCCAAGCTTGCTCATCCATGTCTTTATTGACCTTGCTTTGTGCACTGGTGTGCAGTTAAGTTGGACTGATAAATAATAAATATACCATATTGCTCTATGGTCTTTTCAAATTCAGTGGGTATACCCCACATAAGCAGCCAGCACAATATTGCAGGTCCCAATACATAAAACATAAATACATAGGAAGTGCAGCGCTAAAACAAATTCTTAAATAGATTTTTCCCATAAAACGAAAAGTCCGATCCAGAGCTTTTTATATATAAAAGATAAAAAGTTCATCAACCAAGACCCAACAGATAGCCAATGAGTGCCCAGGAAACCAATCAAAGGAGAAATTCTTCACCAGCACCAATCACACTGTCCCTTGCCAGATGGTATTGACCCCAAAAAGAAAGGTCAATATGCGCTGTGCGCTTCCTGGAAGCGACCACTGGACTGTATATATTCCTTAAGGATCCTGGTCTTCAATATGAAGGTTTCAAATACACCTGAGTAGATGTTATCCTCATAGAGGATAATCCAAGGTAAAAGGAAATAGATCCTCATAGTGCAGTAAATATTGAATTTTTAATGCCTCAAATATAGTATTAAACTTACATAATAAAATAAACAGCATGTCACCATGTCCAAAAGCGACTTGTTTCCAACCATTCAGATGGCCGCCACGTTCCGATGTGCAATGACGTCATGCTGTGGCTCGATCCAACGTGTTTCGTCATCAACGTCATTGAGGCGTGGCCGGTGTCTAGACGTTGTGCCATTTTATAGGGGAAAGAAACCCCTCCTCTTCCTAAATTATCAAAAAGCAAAACAAATGCCTAAAATAGATCAGGAAAAAACATCCCGTCGCAATCACAATACATTTCAAAGGCCAGAATACTAATATGGACCCAAAATGACCCAAGACTAAAAAAAATCACTTAATAACCAAAAGGTTGGTGATATTATCCACTCACATACTAACTTAAACAGTCATCCAGCCATCCTGCTAGCGGTCATGGCGCCATCTTGTGGTTTCTAAAGTTATTACAACCAACAATATAATTTACAGAAAATCTTAAAATAACATGGTGAAAAAAAAAAACCTATCTAGTAAACGTTCAAAGATATCAGGGGTCACCAAATATCACATGTCTTAAAGGACTTCCCCCCCCACAAAATAATATTAACATAAAAAACTTAAAATTTAATTAGCTATTATTTATAAAGGCATTTATATCCTACTCTATATTAAGACCATGTGGTATATAAGATTTCAAAGTCTATATCCACCACGTTTCGAGATCTCACGTTTAATGTGACCACCTCTCCAATTTTTAGAAAAGTGATCAATAGCTATAAACAGGGTTCCTTCAGGATTCTTACCATGATGTAAAGCATAATGTTTAGAGACGCTATGGTTAGGAAAACCTTTCTTAATATTCACAATATACTATTTTAAACTAGTCTGTATTGTTCGTACAGTGCATCCAACATATTGGAACTCACATGGACATTGAATCAAGTAGGCCACATTCTCAGTGGTGCAGGTCATAAAGTTTTTAACCACACATTTTTTGGGTAACCGTAGATTGAAAATCCTCCATTTGCCTACTTTTAAATATATTAAATTTACAAATGGTGCATTTCCTACATGCAACATAACCTGTGAGACCCTGAAAAAAAGAGGATTTCTTTGATGGAACTGTAACATTGGGAGCAACATATAACCTCAATGGAGGTGCTCTCTTAAAAATAACAGGAGGGGCCTCTGGAAGCAGGGGTTCAAAAATTCTGTCATTACATAATACCATCCAATGTTTATGAAAGTTTTTCTTTTAACGTCATAATGTTGAGTATAAGATGTAACAAAAGCAACAACAATACCGCCCCCCTTATCCGCCGGCTCACCACAGTGTCATTTCGATTTCTGAGGGTCTCTTTTTTTGCCTTTGACTGAAAGGTCCGCTAGATCTCTAGGGATGTCAGATTTCAGATGGGTTTAGAGACCCTCAGAAAACAAAATGAAATTGTGGTGGGGCCCGGCGGATAAGGGGGGCAGTATTGTTGTATTGGACAAAGATGCCTATCAGTGTAAAATGTACCGTTTACTTTCAGATAGAGACACTTATGTCCTTTTGAATGGTAATCACATGACCAAATATAGAAAAGAATTACTCAGTGTGGTTGAAGGGGGTTATAAGGACACGATTAATAATGAGAGGGCCTTTTTAGTCCCAGTAGCTCCGTGTGTACCGGTTATATATTATTTACCGAAGGTCAAACATTTAAGGAAAAAGGGCAAGGAAGAGGTTTCAAATGGACTTTAGAGGCACAGAGATTTCAAACACATATTGGTAAAATCATTTGTACTTTATTATGACAATAAGTCATGGAAAAACATTTTGCAGTTTAAAAGAACATAGTTATAGTTATCCCTTCTGACAATGTCCCACAGCCCACCATATACAAGGAACACCTTAATGATAGGAGACATAATAACCACCAGATGAATCCCATAAGGGGAGGTGGAGGACATAAAACCACAGG